CTCGACTAGCCTCCGACCTGAAAGCGTGCGCGTTGTCCTCCAAGTATCCTCTCACTATTGTCAGGAAATAGTCGAGGTCTTCAGATCTCCCTCCAAATTCGGCACGCAGCTCCTCTCTCCTCTGCTGTACTGGTTGGAGCTGCATACCTTGGCCGCCTACATGCGCCATTCCTCCCGGGGGCGCGGGTTGTCCAAACAACGCTCCGGGCTGCCCTGTGCCACGTCCTGCCCCGGCTGGGGCTGCTACAGGAAGGGTTTGCGGGGTCGTCGCAGCTCCCCTTGGCATCCCCTCTCCTCCGTCACTCAGGGCAGCCTGGGTCCTACGTCTCGCCCCCAGGATCTGGCTGCTCCCCACGCTCGCCTCCCACAGTGACTCCGTGAGGGCTGGGGTTCCTCCAGCAGGGGGGCCAGGCGATCCATCAGCCTTGACATCATGGCCAATGTGGTTTCCATGGCAGCCACTCTCTCCTCCAAACAGCCATATCTTTGGGGGGAGGCGAAGTCTATCTCGCTGCTGCCTCTTCCTGCGACCTCTCTCGTTCGCCTTTGGGTGACCCCGTTAGGGTTAGCGTATGCTGTTGAGGATGCGAGCACCGCCACTCTTTCGAGCTCCGCCTCAGCCTCGCTGAGAAGCAAGGTTGGCTTCCCTCCCATCGCTCCAAGGACGGTGTCCTCTTCTTCCTCCAAGGGGGATTCACTCCCCTCTTCCATCATAGCACCTCACCACTGCTGCAGGATGGTGCGGGGAATCCCGGCTTAATGTCAGCTCACGACAGCTGGGCTCAATGATGACACGAGACTTCCATCGTAATCAAAGAACTTTACTATCAGATACTCAGACACAGAAAAAGCCGGGATTGCCTGGTCGCAGCGGGCAACCCCTTATATACACTCCCACTTGTTCGAAAGGTAGACTACCGTCAAACCCAAAACCCCGCGCAAAAGCTTCCTGCCTCAAACAACTGCCTTCCTCCAAGGCCACCAGCTGCAGGGTCCTTATCAGGGTGATACGTCAGGAGTCTAGTTTCAGCGCCAAAGTCTGGGCTCCGGAAACTGGATCCTGACATTTGGTCATTACTGATTAGTTTACATTGAAATGATGCAAAGTATCAAAAACAGTGGAGTTACTCCAGATATGTTAATCATGTATTTTGTCATTTCTGATTAGTTTACATTGAAATCACACAAAGTGTCAGAAAGAGTGTAGTTACTGCATGTATTTGGTAATTTCTGATTAGTTTACATTGAAATGATACAATGTATCAAAAACACTGGAGTTACTGCAGATATGTTAAACTTCATGTATTTGGTCATTTCTGATTAGTTTACATTGAAATCACACAAAGTGTCAGAAAGAGTGCAGTTACTGCATGCTGGCACCCTCCAGTACATAGCAAAAAAGCATGAAGCATAGGCGAGTTCCATCCACCTGGCCCTATCATAGCAGTCCGACTGGAGCTTCAGAATGAGGTCCGGATCAGAGCTGCCATGAGGAGGCCAAGAGACTCCACCCTCCAAAGACCTTTTGGGCCATTTCTGAATGCAATATTTTACCATACTGGCCTGCGTCAATGATCGTGATGTTACCCTGTCCTACGCTGCCAGTATCTTTCCTAAAGGTGACTCCTTGGGGACAGGACGTTTGATCCCGGATTGGCAAGCGCCCATTTCTCCAGTCAGCCCTACTATCCAGTAGCTAATCAGGGGACCGGTTCCGCCAACCGCAACACGAACCTCCCGCTGAAAGGTCCCTAAATGGAGAACCCCGAGCGACCAGCACCTGAACGGACTTGTAGACCAAGGGAAGGACTCCCTTACTTACACACCCCCCTCAGGTCCGCAATAAGCGAGCTGGATTGCAAAATCTGGACCTCAAATGCCAGATGACCACCACTCCTCAACCAGGATTTGTTACCGAGTCCCAGAATTCCCCTTCCCAGTGGACGGTCTCCGAAGCTGGACAGTGAAACCCAAAACCCCTCCACCTGGCAATTCTTGGAGTAGCAACACGGTTGTTTTGGCTTACCCTTCAGACGTCTTCACCCTTCACGTCGGTGGCCCTTCTTCCAAGAAGTCCTTGGAAAAGGCTTCCCTGGCGCTCCTTTGTGCCTAAAATCCGGGTCAGAACTGGGAGGAAATGGCTGTGGGAGAATTTGTAATTTTGTCAGAAAAAAAGTCCGAATTGAGAGAGGCGCTTCTTTCCCCAAGCCGTTCCTCCTGGTGATCTGGCCCGAAGATTCTGGACTAAGGCGCCTGCTTGGAAATTTAGGCTATAATTTTGTCTGGACCTCCAAGCAGGGTCCCTTCGTGGTCGCCAAATGATATCGAGCTGCTTTTAGGAGGGTCTCCCCAGCAGAGGAGATCCCGAGGACTGCACCAAAGAGGGTCCTTGAACCTTGGTGAGGGCAGCGAAGCCAATTCCAGCCGTGAAAATATTTAAAATAATAAATCCTCACCAAAGCGGAAGAAGTTGGCAACCGAGGTATCTTTATTTGCGATTCAGCTGTAATCGGATGCAAATGTAGAGATATCTCCTCTACAAGCATACCGCTACAGAATTTACAAGCATTTTTATAGAGAAAACACAACAAAACATTTCAAATTTCCCGCCCGCCCCTCTCCGCCCAGCTTCGCACTGATTGGTTGACAGCTCGAACAGCTGGGAGGAGGCTTGGCGGCCCGCCCTGCTCTGGGCCAATCAGCAAGCTTCTCCGCCTCTGGAGGGCCAAGCGGCGCGCTTCTCTCGTTTCCGAGGATGGACGAATCAGAAGAGAGAAGGCGGGACGACCGCGGACAATGGGGGAAATGATGGGGTTACTAATAGCCGGCCAGCTGGAATGTGAGGCTTTGTTTTTGGCCAGCTAGGTGTGATCTCCACAAGAAAGGTTTTCCTGTAATTGATGGGTTTTGGTGGAGAGAACAAACAGGATCCGGGCAGGGGACCCCGGGGGGCGTCCCTGTCCTTTGTAAATCAATCAGAGTGTCCAAATAGACTTCCTCACCCCGCCAGACAAACTCAGAGAGCGGGAAAGGAAATCTCAAATTGCTTTTGTCCATGCTGATGTGAGATAATCAAAATAAGTTTCGAGGGAGGCAGGGGTCCTTCCTCGGGCATTACAACAATCCTTGGTCACTTTTTCTAGGGCAAAAGTCAAGGGGAAAAGGCAGGAAAACAAGCGATACTTCATGCATTATCATTTATACAAAGTTCATATAGAAAAACCCTATTCCCACCCCACATCTTAATCATTTAATAAAATAATTTGAAAACTTGAAGTCCCATGCTCCCGGGGAGAGTTCGTAGAAATGGAGGTGGCTTGAAGTCCAAGACAAGCAGCAGAAAGCCATTTTTCCTTGGCTAATGCCAGCAGCTAGGCACGGTGTTGATCGGTGGCAAAATCCATAGCTTGGTCCTTGGGGATCTACAACTCCTTCCCAAGGACTGGGTCTCCTGCCCGGCCCCCTCCCAGAGGTCTCCTGGGGGCATCCACAGCAAGTCCCCAACTGCGGGGCTAGGCAGGAACGAACGGCAACAAAAAGAAATGGACTGCTTGTGCAGAGCCGGCGGAGTTTGACAATCAGCTATTTTCTGTCAAAATTTATTTCCTAAAACAAAATAATTATTTCCCGGACGTAGGGATCCAAAATGAGAAAAGCGAGATAGCAGTTCAGTTAAGAATCAAGTAAAGAAAAATATGGCATTAAAATGGGGCCGATCCGCCATTTTGAGATTTTAGCGGATACGGGGGCCCAATAGGAAGGCCTCCGTATCCGCGGTTTCAATTGATGCAGATTCGGCCTCCCCGAGATGCCCAGAAGGCATCCCAGGCAGGTCCGCGGTCGCCCGGAGCCTAGGAAGAGGTTTATTTCATGTTTAGGTTAGCTCAGGCAGCAAAGGACACAAAGTATCAAGCGAAAGAGTTAAAAGTTGCAATTTTTCAAGTACCTTTATTAGGGATTTGTTACAAAGTAAGGAGAGGGGAAAGCAAGAGAAGGCTGAGTGCAGTCCTAGGTTTTGAGCTGTCTGCTGGGGCACATTTCATCAGTTGGTTCCAAACTTTGCTCCCAGGAACTGCGGAACTCTCCGATGTGGTTCACACCAATTTGAAGGTGGGGGATCTCCGCCGCTCTCGGGGTCACTAGCACCCACGTTGGCAGTCTTTAGGAAGAACTTGAAGACTTGGTTATTCCGATGTGCCTTTCCAGAATAGGATTACCTCCAGCACTCTGGCCCAGAAGCACTTTATTAGAGTTAAGACTCTCTGCACATTGCACTTGCCCAGAATCCCAACATACCACCTCACACACCCAGCACTTTTTAAATCTGTACCCATCATTGGCCCGGCCCTGATTTTATTGTGTAATAGTGTAATGTTTTGTTGTGTTATTGCTTGTGTTTTTAATTTGCTTGCTTTGTTATTGTCTGTTGTTGTTATGTTGAGGCTTTGGCCTTTGTAAGCCACATCGAGTCCTTCGGGAGATGCTAGTGGGGTACAAACAAAGTTTAATAATAATAATAAATGTGAACACTGGAGGAGTTTGAGGAAAATAGACCTTGATAGTTGGGAGTTATAGTTGCTGGGATTTATAGTTCACCCACAATGAAATAACACTCTGAACCCCACCAGGGATAGAATTGGGCCAAACTTCCTACACACATAATCCCCATGACCTACAGAAAATACTGTGTTTCCTGATGGTCTTTGGCGACCCCTCTGACCCCCCCTCGTGACCCCCCCCCCCCCCCAGGGGTCCCGACCTCCAGGTTGAGACACGCTGCTTTAGGACAAGGCCAAGTTTTGAACTCGGTCGTGGTGTCTGGATGCGACAGTCTAACTGCGGATTCCAGTTCGCGGAAGCCCCGCCTCTCTTTGAGGCACGTGTGCCCGTGGCCGCCATCTTTGTGCCGGGCGGAAGTCCAGAGAAAGCGGAACGGCCTCTGCTTCCTAAAGAGGAGGAGGAGGAGGCGGCGGCTCGCACTTCCCTCTGAGCCCACTTCCGGCGGAGGAGGAGGGGGGAAAGGAGGCCTTGATGGCGGCGGAAGAGAGGCGCCTTTCGCAGAGAGAGCAGGAAGAAGGTAACGCAGGGTGGCGTTGGGGCCTTCTTTCCCCTCTTTTCTCCCGGGAGGACCGGGGGAGTGTGGCGGGGAAGGCTCGGGCCTCATGGGAGGAAGAAGGGAAGGAAGGAAGGGAGGGGGGGGGGCGGCTGTTCTCTTTGTTGAATCTCCCTGGCTGTGGCGCCACAGGGAGGGAGGGGGGAGCCCGGCATGTGCGAGGCCGGAAGAGGCCCAGCGGGAGGGCCTGGCCTCGGCACCGCCTCCCAGTTGGACGTGAGGCGGAGGAGGAGGAGAGCCGCCTGCCCGCAGGCCTGTCTCAAAGAGGCGGCTTCCCTCCCTTGTGGGTGAGAGGCGGCGGTTGCCTTGTGGGGAGGGAGGGGGGCTTCCTTCCTTCGAATCACAAAATCACAGAGTTGGAAGACACCCGGTCCAACCCCATTCTGCCAAGAAGCAGGACTTGTCGGGGGTGCGTTCAGAGCACCCCCGACAGATGGCCATCCAGCCTCTGGTTAAAGAAGGAGCCTCCGCCACACTCCCTCCGGGGCAGAGAGTTCCACTGCTGAGTTCCACTCCTGTTCAACATCTTTACTAATGACTTAGATGAAGGGCTAGAAGGCAGGATCATCAAGTTTGCAGACGACACCAAATTGGGAGGGATAGCCAATAGTCCAGAGGACAGGAGCAGGATTCAAAACGATCTTGACACATTAGAGAGATGGGCCAAAACTAACAAAATGAAGTTCAACAGGGACAAATGCAAGATACTCCACTTAGGCAGAAAAACGAAATGCAAAGATACAGAATGGGGGAATGCCTGGCTTGAGAGCAGTACGTGTGAAAAAGATCTTGGAGTCCTCGTGGACAACAAGTTAAACATGAGCCACAATGTGATATGGCAGCAAAAAAAGCCAATGGGATTTTGGCCTGCATCAATAGGAGCATAGTGTCTAGGTCCAGGGAAGTCATGCTCCCCATGCTCTACTCCGCTTTGGTTAGACCACACCTGGAATATTGTGTCCAATTCTGGGCACCACAATTCAAGAGAGATATTGACAAGCTGGAATGTGTCCAGAGGAGGGCGATTAAAGGCGACTAGAGGGCGACTGGAGAACAAGCCCTATGAGGAGCGGCTTAAGGAACTGGGCATGTTTAGCCTGAAGAAGAGAAGGCTGAGAGGAGATATGATAGCCATGTATAAATATGTGAGAGGAAGCCACAGGGAGGAGGGAGCAAGCTTGTTTTCTGCTTCCTTGGAGACTAGGACGCAGAACAATGGCTTCAAACTACAAGAGAGGTAATTCCATCTGAACACGAGGAAGAACTTCCTGACTGTGAGAGCCGTTCAGCAGTGGAACTCTCTGCCCCGGTGTGTGGTGGAGGCTCCTTCTTTGGAAGCTTTTAAACAGAGGCTGGATGGCCATCTGTCAGGGGTGATTTGAATGCAATACTCCTGCTTCTTGGCAGGGGGTTGGACTCTAAGGCCCGTGAGGTCTCTTCCAACTCTTTGATTCTATGATTGTATGAAAAGCTCTCTCTCACAGTCAGGAAATTCTTCCTCATGTTCAGATGGAATCTCCTTTCTTGTAGCTTGCAGCCATTGCTCCATTGCGTCCTAGTCTCCAGTGAAGCAGAAAACAAGCTTGCTCCCTCCTCCCTGTGACTTCCTCTCACATATTTATACATGGTTATCATATCTCCTCTCTGCCTTCTCCTCTTCAGGCTAAACATGCCCAGCTCTTTAAGCCGCTCCTCATAAGGCTTGTTCTCCAGACCCTTGATCCTTTGAGTTGCCTTCTTTCTCTGGGCACATTCTAGCTTGCCGATATCTCCCTTCAATTGTGGTGCCCAGAATTGGACACAATATTCCAGGTGTGGTCTGACCAAGGCAGAATAGAGCATGGGTAGCAGGACTTCCCTGGATCTGTTTTTTCTCTGTTTTTTTTCTCTGTTTTTTCTCATGATTTCCTTTTGGTTGGCTAAATATTTAAGGCCACACTTTTATTTAATGTCGTGGGGAGGGTGGCAATTGAATTATCCACTCCCTCCCTTTTCCCTCTGTTTTGCTCATGGTCAGTAAGAGGTTTTTGGGGCATCTTCTGGGATAGAGACTGGATAGAGAGGATTCCGTTCTGCCCCAGGTTGGGATTTAATGGCTTAGGATATTTATGTATTTCGGACATTTGTATCCTAATCTATCTCAACCTCCGCAGAGGGACTCAGGGCAGCTACCAACCGGCATGCCATGGTGCCCACAATCAAAAGCATAAATATACAATTTAAATAAAAACAATATAAAAGAGTATAAAAACATTCAAACAGTCGCTGATTTAAGTCATCGTCCTAAAAGCAGTCTGTCAAGTCCATTAAAGCTGCCAGTTTGCCAGCAGGTCAGCCTAGTCTGCAAATGCCTGATCCTATAGCCAGGATTTCACTTGTTTCCGAAAGGTCAGGAGGGATGGAGCAGATCTAATTTCGCTTGGAAGGGAATTCCACAGCTGAAGGGCCACCCTGTCCCTTGTCCCCACCAAATGCGATTGCGATCATGGGGGGACAACGAGCAGGGCCACCCCAGATGATCTTAGGGTCTGAGGTGGATCATAGTGGGAGAGACATTCAGACAAGTAAATTGGGCTAGAACCGTTCAGGGTTTCATAGGCTAAAGCCAGCACTTTGAATTGTGCCCTGAAGCTAATGGGCACCCAGTGGAGCTGGCGCAGCGAGGGCGTTGGGCACTCCCTCTACCCCGGTCTGGTGAGCAACCTAGCTGCCGAGCGTTGGACTAGTTGGAGCTTCCGGGCAGTCTTCAGAGGCAGCCCCACGTAGAGTGCGTTGCAGTAGTCTATTCAGGATGTAACCAGAGCGTGGACTACCGTGGCCAATACTGCAGACAGGTTCCTGCAGACAGGAACTCTCTGCCCTGCAGGGAGTGTGGTGGAGGCTCCTTCTTTGGAACAGAGGCTGGATGGCCATATGTCAGGGGTGCTTTGAATGCGATTTTCCTGCTTTGTGGCAGAATGGGGTTGGATTGGATGGTCCATGAGGTCTCTTCCAACTCAAAGATTCTATGATTCTAGGTGGAATCGCCTTTCTTTCCTGTAGTTTGAAGTCATTGTTCCACATCCTAGCCTCCAGGGCAGCAAAAAACAAGCTTGCTCCCTCCTCCCTAGGGCTTCCCCTCACTTATTTATACATGGCCCTCATGTCTCCACTCAGCCTTTTCTTCTGAAGGCTAAATATGCCTAGCTCTTTCAGGCGCTCCTCATAGGGTTTGTTCTCCAGACCCTTGATCATTTGAGTCGCCCTCCTCTGGACACATTCCAGCTTGTCAACATCTCCTTTCAATTGTAGTGCCCAGAATTGGACATAGTATTTCAAGTGTGGTATGAGCAAAGGGAGCATGACTTCCCTGGATCTAGACACTAGATTCCTATTTATGCACACCAAAATCCCATTGGCTTTTTTTGCCACCGCAAGACATTCCTGGCTCATGTTCCCCTTTCTCCACACGAGGACTCCAATATCTTTTTCACACGAACTGGTCTTGAGCCAGGCATTGTCCTCTGTTCTGTCTCTGCATTTCATTTTTTCTGCCTAAGTGGAGTATCACTTTTTTTTTTCGTGTCAGGAGCGACTTGCAAAATTGCAAGTCGCTTCTGGTGTGAGAGAATTGGTCATCTGCAAGGACGTTGCCCAAGGGTGCCCAGATGTTTTGATGTTTTACCACCCTTGTGGAAGGCTTCTCTCATGTCCCGTTTGCATGGGGAGCTGGAGCTGATAGAGGGAGCTCATCCTCGCTCTCCTCAGATTCAAACCTCCGACCTGTTTAACGCATTGCGCCACCGGGGGCTCTGTGGAGTATCATGAAATTCATAAAATAATTAATAAAGGAATCATTGCGTCTCTTAATATTTAACTTATCCTGGTAATTCATGTAAACCCATCATTCAGAGTGAATGACGCTCCATCTATGGTCTGTCTGACTGTCTGCCTTATGCTTCTTTAGCCATGTTTAGTGTCAAGCCAACAAAATCAGTGTGACTCTTTAGTACTTTAGTAAGTTACCTATCCGAACGTGTTTACCCTTATGAACCTTCCAGGAATTTAAGATCATCTGGGGAAGCCCTGTTGTCGATCCCGCCTGCCTCACAGGCATGTTTGGTGGGGACGAGGGATGGGGCCTTCTCAGTGGTGGCCCCTCCCTCGGCTGTGGAACTCCCTTCCTGGGGATATTAGATCAGCCCCCTCATTCCTGACCTTTAGGAAAAGAGTGAAAACCTGGTTCTTTGAGCAAGCTTTTGGAACCTCATTGTAACCAGATAAACTCAGTCTTGTGAACGAATATGGAATGACTTAACAATGCAAATGGACATTGATTTAAACCCAGAAGTCATTGATTTTAATAGTTTTAAATTGTTTTATATGAATTTTAATATAGTGTGGCAAATAAAATAAAAATACTGGATGAAGATCCCTTTTTTTCTTTCATTCATCCTTCCATCATTTCTTTCTTTTCATCCTCCCTTCTTTTCTTCTTTTGTTCTGCTTCCATCCCTTATTGTTCATGAATCTATGGTCACCTTTGCTGGTTTCTGTGTATGTCCTTGAGACTCTTCATACCTCCATTTCTTGGTATTTCCATTTTCAAAATGAGCCATGAAGGGAAAAGAGGATAATCTTGGAAATAAAGGAGGCTTGCAGCTTCATGATTAACCTTTTGCTTCTTTTTTCTTGACCAGGGAAATGAAAACCCCATGAAGTCACCTCTGGCATGAAAAGGCAATATCAATATATGGTGGATATTTAGGAATTTGGAAACCTAAGGGCAATAATGAAAGAAATCCTGTAGGAAGAAGAAATCCTCTCAGTACCAGTCTTGTAGAACTGACTGTTAACATGGAGGAGAAACCCTTTACAAGTCTTGAGTGTGGAAAGAGCTTCACTCAGAGTGGAAATCCACATTCACAGCAAAGGATGCCCACTGAGGAGAAACCCTATAAATGCCTGGAGTGTGGAATGAGCTTCACTAAGAGTGCCAGTCTACTTTCACATCGAAGGACTCACACTGGGGAGAAACCCTATACATGCCTGGAGTGTGGAATGAGTTTCACTTGTAGTGGAAATCTACATAAACATCAAAGGACTCACACTGGGGAGAAACCCTATACATGCCTGGAGTGTGGCCAGAGCTTTACTGCGAGTGGAAGCCTACGTTCACATCAAAGGACTCACACTGGGGAAAAACCCTATACATGCTTAGAGTGTGGACAGAGCTTCACTCATCGTGCAGGTCTACGTTCACATCATAGGGTTCATACTGGGGAGAAACCCTATAAATGCCTGGAATGTGGACAGAGCTTCACTCAGAGTGGAACTCTACGTTCACATGAAAGGACTCACACTGGAGAGAAACCCTATAAATGCCAGGATTGTGGACAGAGCTTCACTGACAGTGCAAGGCTACGTTTACATCAAAGGACTCACACTGGAGAGAAACCCTATAAATGCCTGGAGTGCGGAAAGACCTTTGCTCGGATTGGAACTCTACATTCACATGAAAGAACTCACACGGGGGAGAAACCCTATACATGCTTGGAGTGTGGACAGAGCTTTGCTCGTAGTGGAAGTCTACATTCACATCAAAGGACTCACACAGGGGAGAAACCCTATACATGCCTGGAGTGTGGACAGAGTTTTACTCAGAATGCAGGTCTACGTTCACATCAAAGGACTCACACTGAGGAGAAACCCTATAAATGCCTGGAGTGTGTCCAGAGATTCAGTGAGAGTGGAAGTCTATGTTCACACCACAAGAAACAGATTGGGGAGAAACCCAATACATGCCTGGAAGGAATTTCTTAAATATGCTGGGTGGTCATCAAGAAAGAAAGTTTGAATGATTACTAAAATATATGAAAATTGCAGCAAGAATCCTGAATCCTCAGAGATGGAAGGAAGAAGTTATCCCAACTCAAGTTCACTGACTGATGAAGATAGGCAAACTAGCAGATATTAAGAAACTGATGCTTCTGATTAAGGAGAAATATCTGATCACTTTCAAGGAACATTGGAACTTTAAAATCACTCTTTCATGACAACAATAGGGGCACATGTGAAGTGTAGGATTTATAAATTAGAATAGTGGTACCTAATAAATAAATAAATAAATAATATAACAACAACAATAATAACCTTTATTAATACCTCATCACCATCTCCCCGAAGGGACTTGGGCGGCTCACAAAAGTACTCCAGAGTGCTGCATATAAAATAGTAAAACAATAATACCCTAAAATTATATTAACACCAGAATTGTCCGAATGGAGTAGAATAATCTATACACATAATGAAAGTGAAAATGTGTATGTGGTGGAGAGGTCCACTTAAACAGACACCTCCACAAACACCTACAACCCACAGTGCTGAAGAGTCACCCAAAGCCCTCCCTCCAAGGACATTGCAGGTTACATCAATTTCCATGAATATGTCTCCCACAATGTCCTCCCCAAACACCATACTGCCCCACCACCCAAGGAGTGCTTTCATTTGGGGACAATTTCATCCTACAAGAAAGGAGATTCCATCTGAACATTAGGAAGAATTTCCTGACTGAGAGGTGTTCAGCAGTGGAACTCTCTGCCCTGGAGTGTGGTGGAGGCCCCTTCTTTTGAGGCTTTTAAACAAAGGCTGGATGGCCATCTGTTGGGGGTGTTTTGAATGCGATTTTCCTGCTTCTTGGCAGGGAGTTGGAGTGGATGGCCCATGAGGTCTCTTCCAACTCTTTGATTCTAGATGTTCTGTTTTTCCTCCAGAATGGACATCCCAGGGCTTCTTATTCTTTCCATTGCTATGGGATATACATTACTCTGCCCACTGCCTTTCCCTTAACCCTTTCCTGTGGCACATAGCTAACAGGAATTGATCAGTAACTGAACAAGAGGTTTGGGAGGATTCACCATGATTTATAGGAGCTGTAGTTCGCCTACATCCAGAGAGCACTATGAACCCAACCAACAATGGATCTGGACCACACTTGGCACAGAGAATCCCCATGACCTAGTGAACATGGGGCTTCTGATCAACATCTTCATTAATTACTTTAGATGAAGGGTTAGAAGGCAGGATCATCAAGTTGGCAGACGACACCAAATTGGGAGGGATAGCCAATACTCCAGAAGACGAGCAGAATTCAAAGGGATATTCACAGATTAGAAATATGATGGGCCAAAACTCATACAGTGAAGTTCAACAGGGACAAATGCAAGAGACTTCACTTAGGCAGAAAAAATTAAATGCGAAGAGACAGAATGAGGGATGATCATGCCTGGCTCCACAGTAGGATGCGTGGAAAAGATCTAGGAGTCCTCGTGGGGAGGAAGGGGAACAGGAGCCAGGAATGCCATGCAGTGGCAAAGAAAGCCAATGGGATTTTGGCCTGCATCAAGAGGAGTCTAGTGTCTAGATCCAGGGAAGTCATGCTCCCCATGCTCTATTCTTCCTTGGTTAAACCATATCAGGAATACTGTGTCCAATTCTGGGCACCACAATTGAAGGGAGATGTTGACTCTAAACTGGAATGTGTCCAGAGGAGGACAACTCAAAGGATCAAGGGTCTGGAGAACAAGCCCTATGAGGAGCGGCTTAAAGAGCTGGGCATGTTGAGCCTTCAGAAGATACATGTTCCAAAGCAAGAACACACTGGAAATCAGTACAAGAAGGCCAGAAAATGTTAAGATGAATATTCAGAGGAAACCAGAATATTTCCTACTAGGGATAACAGATGAAGATATCGAGCTAGACCAAAATACAGACATCCTGTTCACATACTTAACAAATGGTGTATGCGAGAAACTGGAAAGTGAAAGAGGTTCCATCTAAAGAAGAATGGCTAGGTAAGGCCAGCAAAATAAGAAACATGGACAAGGTGACCTATCTTAAAGGAAGACCCATAAAGAAAAGTTATTGGAAACTATTTGACGAATATCTGATCGAACATTAAGAGAGGATTACTGTCTATCTACAAGGGAAGATGATCACAATAAAAACTAAGGACTGAAGAAGAAAGCAGAGTAAATTTGACTACAAGCAGGAGAGAAGCCAAAGATATAGAAAGGAACTGAGAGTTCTACCCCTACTTCAATTTATTTCTTGGAACACGTGGAGAATTAGAATGGGAAGTCAAGATGTTTCCTCCTCTTCCCACAACCTCACTTTCTCCCATGTGTGTACCACCCCCCCCCCCATGTAGACAAGTCCCCATTCCTTCCCCATTACTTCCCCTCCCCATCACCTATATTTTATCTGTAGAACCAGAAAAGCATTCAATAAAAAATACATAAAAAGAAGACAAGGCTGAGATGAGACTTTTATTTATTTATTTCGTATCAAAAGCATTGCATAAATTAGTATAAAAACTGATAAAAATAGAAGGAGCACAAGTGGCTAAATATCTTTTGACCAAAAAACAGGAAATAGCAATGGCATTGTCTGTAGCCTCCAACAATTCTTCCTCTATACATGAGGCAGGGCATAGTGGACAAGCATACAGATGCAGAGTTGTCTGTTCTGCTCCACAGTTGCACAAGGTGTGGGATTCTTTTAGGCAGTGCCATATTGCCAGGTTGTCTTTTGTTCTGCCCACTCCACTTCCGAGCCTGTTCAGGGGCTTCCAAGTTACCCATTCTTGGTTTACCCCGGAGGAAGACCCTCCATCGTGGGAGCCCATTCAATGCCTAATGTTGGGCACTGATACGATGCCAATACAAATAAAAACCACAATTAAACATAAACCACAATTAAAACAATACATCAACAAGCATTAAAACAACAATAAAACAGTTGAATCGCCGTTCCAGTCAATGTCCCTCTAAAATGCTACATACATCTATTGTCCAAAGGCCTGGTGCCAGAACCATGATTTTAATTACTTTCTAAAAGCTATGAGGGAGGGAGTGGATCTTGCCTCATTTGGGAGTGTGTTCCATAGGCGGGGGCCACAGCCGAGAAGGCCCTGTCTCTCGTCCCTACCAGCCGCATCTGTGTTGTTGACGGGAGTGAGAGCAGGTCCTCCCCAGATGATCTTAGATTATGAGGTGGGATGTAGGGGTGGATGCGTTTGGACAAGTAAGCTGGGCCGGAACCATATAGAGCTTTATAGGTCAAAACCAGCACTTTGAATTGGGCTGGGAGATGAACCGGCAGCCAGTGGAGCTGGCATAGTAGGGGGGTGGGGTGGGGTGGTATGCTACCTGTATGTCACCCCGGTTAGTTTTGGACTAGCTGAAGTTTCTGAACCATCTTCAAAGGCAGCCCCACGTAGAGCGCATTGCAGTAATCTATTTGGGATGTAATCAGAGCGTGGACCACCGTGGCCAGATCAGACTTCCCAAGGTACGGGCACAGCTAGTGCACGAGTTTTAACTGTGCAACGGCTCCCCTGGCCACCACCGAGACCTGGGGTTCCAGGGTCAGCAATAAATCCAGGATCACTCCCAAACTGCAAACCTGCGTGTTCAGGAGGAGTGTAAGCCCATTCAACACAGGCTGTAACCCTATGCCCTGTTCGGTCTTTTGACTGACCAGGAGGACCTCTGTCTTGTCTGGATTCAGTTTCAATTTGTTAGCCCTCATCGAGTCCGACACAGCGGGGAAGCACCGGTTTAAGGTCTGAACAGCCTCCTTAGTAACAGGTGGAAAAGAGTGACAGATTTGGACGTCATTTGGACGTCATCTGCGTACAGATAACATCCCGAAACTCCAGATGATCTCCCCCAGTGGCTTCATGTAGATGTTAAATAACATTGGGGACAGCACTGAACCCTGAGGGACTCCACAAGACAATGGTTGTGGAGTCGAACAGGTGTCACCCAGTAACACCTTCTGAGACTGACCCTCCAGGAAGGACTGAAGCCACTGCAGAGCAGTACCTCCAAGTCCCATTTCTGCGAGGCGTCCCAGAAGGATACTGTGGTCAATGGTATCGAAGGCCGCTGAGAGGTCCAGCAGAACCAACAGGGACACACTCCCCCTATCCAGCTCCCAGCAAATAAGGTGCTAAGTTATGCCATAAGAGCACCTGATAGGCTGCCATACAAGCATGGTAATGAATCATGCAAATGAGCAGGCTAGCAGTGGTGTAGATCTTCTTACCACAGTGGACTAACTTGAGGTTTCTTAGTTTTCTTGGAGTGAATGACTTTGACCACAATAAAGTTTGGTTTAGTAGGCTTAACTAACCACTCTGCTGAAGAGGTGTCTATGCTGTAAAGTGCATTTCCAAACTTAGAAATCCCAGACACAGAAGCAGGAGTTGCCTTTTGGTTTTTATTCGAGCTTAAGCAAGTATGGAAGTGCTGGGAGAACTGGACTTGGAGCTTGTTTCTGCTGTTGCTCAGCCGAGAAAAGCAGATCCTCTACTGGTGTATCAAAGAAGATATAGAAAGCAACTGAAGGGAATGAACCAGGTGAGCAATCAAGGAGGAAAAATAAGGTAACTCATCCCTGATGGAAGCTGGGATGGAAAAGTCCTCCTCAAGAGTAGGAGAAATCTGCTCCTCATAGGAGTCAGAATCTACATCAGACTCATTGACTGGTTGCAGCTGAGAGGAAGCACCAGAATGAGCTTGGGAAAAAAATCTTATTAAACCCCTGAAAACCAAAAGAAGGGACTCCAAATCTTTGAGAAGGAAAGGAGGGTGCAGATGGTACCTATTCAAAATAATACCAACCTACCTGTTGAGGCATGGACCAAGTGGCAGATGGGGCCCAAAAGACACAGTACTTACATTCTAAGCCATTACTGAAGCTCCCAGGTGGCAAGATGCAGAGGGACGATGGTAGCCCACAGGCCCCTCCAAGGAGTTATACTCCATGGGCTGAGCCCCAAAGCCTTGGCTAGCCATCACTTGCACAGGTGGTGT